TTTTTTTTTGTGATTGCTTGTTTGTTTGCGGTGTCTGAAATAACATATCGAAATGAACACTCATGAATATAATTGTAATTGTATTGTGAATTATTATTATTATAATTTATATTGTCAGTACATATGTTTTAATTATTTGCGTTTCGGGCCGGTGGCATAAATCCGAATAAAATACATAATAATGACAATATAATAGTAAATCGTTCAAATAGGCAACGGGTACAACTATATTTTGTTGTCTTGGGTCATCTTCAAGTTGAAAACCGTTCAGATTCCGTACTTAGCCGTTCTTTGGTGTGCGCGAAAGCAACTTTCCTAAGACCTAACTATACGTAATAAACAATGTTAACCTTGGGTATTTTCACTTTTTCTCGCCAGTTCCTCTTGAAATTTCGTCAGCACGTCCTCACAAACACGTAATACCATCTGGACTTCTTCTTCTCCTGGCAATTCTTTTAACTCCGAATTCTTCTTTTCAAGATATACTTCCGCGAGATCTGGAAATATGTTGGCATATCTTTCACATAGCGTTGCGGCATGATCTCGTTTTGCTGAAAGTAAACAAAACAATAAAAGCCAGGGTGTTGTTGTTAAATCCTGGACCACATGCCAAACTCCACGAATGGAACTAACTGACATTCTTAAAGCGACACAGTCGCGCCGTGTAACGTATATAGCGCGTATAAAATAGCGCGAAGACTGTGGCACTTTTAAGCACGATTGGTTCTATTTCATTTATTCATTCATTCATTTTATCCCAGTGAAGCCAGAGTCCTTAGAGAGTGCGTCTATACCTTTCATATGTTTAGCATTGGTTTCTGAGAACCGCGGATTTCTTGGCGTGACCTGAGTTGTTCGGGGAAACATAGGAGCGATAAGCGTAATCATTCTGATATCTATCTTGTCATTGAGTCGCCTATAGTATCCACACATGTGTCCTTCGTCAGTTGATTCATCTGGACAGAGACAGGTTGCTGTGAAGAAACCGTGAACGATTAAGTGTTGTCAGTGGTTTCAAATGTGTAAGTATAAACCTCCGTGCGCGCTGACGTCTAGTTCGATAAAAAAAAAAACATTGGCCGTCAGATCATCTACGCTAAATGGCAAGGTTGAAAAACTAAGGACACTGGCACTGAGAAGCTGACCTTTAAATCAAGAACATTTATGTTATTCCAAAATGTGCGGGACATTTGCATACATTTGATGGGTATAAGATGTCACACGCATCTTAGATATGCGTTAATGAATGTGGCCAGTGGAACGCCACGCAGAATGCAATGCCGATATACATCTACACATATTAGTGAAAACAATATAGATATACATGTATTATTTTAATTTTAAAGAATACTTACTTTCAGGAAAGGCTTCGTCGAGATAACGCAATATTTTATCTGAATCGCACACTACTGTCTCCCCGTGCTGTAAAGTTGGCACCAAACCGAACGGGTTGAGTCGCATGTACCAGGGCTCCAGATTTTCCAAATTAAAAAAATTCACAGGGCATTTTTTATATTTCAGATTTTTTTCGGCCAGTCCCATTCTGACCTGATAAAATAACATAAAGTAACAGTTACATTATTGAGTTATGTTCCGGAAATGTGAACGTTGTCGACCAATGTACTAATCAGATTTAGATCAAGGTTTTCTTAATCCTATTATTGTTACGTTACATTACATTACATTACATCACGTTACATTATACTACACTACAGTACGCCGCTACACTACACAGAGGTGGCGGCACAAAATTCTGCATGCGGGTGAGATCTGCCCACCATCTCTCATGCCAAAGGCGCCAGCTTACTTGTGGGGCATGCTCCCCCTTAACAATTTTGAAATCGAGACCCTCTGAAATGCTATTTCCTGACGACCCCCACATTTTCCCCTCTGTCCTGGTACCGCCGCTACCGTTACACTACACTACACTACACTACACTACCCTACACTACACTACACTATACTACACAGACTTGCAAACAGTCACTTGTTTATTTATTTTTACAAAATGAAATACTGTAAACTACTTTATTTTCGCTATATTCACTGAAGGTCTGATTCAGTGAAAATACTAATCTAGTGAATATAGCTTTTCTTCCTATATTTTGGAACATTTTGTAATGAATGTCACAGAATATGCAACATGTATAAGGTAAATGTAAAAAAGTGCGCTGTCGTTTTAAATACAACTGGACAAGTTTCCGATGTAATCCGAACTGATACATCAATGATAACGAGTAGAACAGAGAACACTGAACTAGTAACCCTACCTACGCAGTGTCCGAGCACCAAATGATTTTAGGGGTCGGGCATTTGAAATTATGGGGATGGCTTGAAGAGCTAGTGCATTTTTTTTTCCACCTCGTCTTATCTGTACATTTTCATTTTTGTCGCTTATGTCAACATTGTATCACTGCAAAACATGCAAATTTTGTTTCCATCTCGTTGTCCAGCTTGCTAAATTTTTTTTCAACAAATCTTCCAGCCACCCAAGATTTAGTATGGTCGACCCCTTATTCAATAGATACGCCGGTTAGCACGCTGTTTATCTTTCAATTTATTGTAATTGATACTCTGGGTATGGCAATGGCAATGATACCGATCTGTAGCAATTCTGTTTTTTGTAATCGACACTGACAGTTATTTATGTTAACAATGTACATTTATTCTATTTGCTAGGCGTTCAAAGTTGTTCTTGTGATTTCAGGCCAGCTGTTTTATTGAATAAGCCAGCCTCGTCATAGAATAATTAGAGTTGTAAATCCACAATAAGCACACTGACGTAGCGATAGTGCAGATTTTGTCGTAGCATATTCTGCCGTCCCGGTTGCAAATTCCGGGTGCAAATTGCCTGCCTTGTGTAGGGAACGATTAAACACAAAACGATACTTACACAAAACGAGAAATACGACACAGTCTCCTGATATAATAGAAGGGGTGGCCCCGCATCCGCCATGCTTTAGTAAACCTCACCGTCTAAGTGCGGTATCAGCAATTCCCCGGAGCTCTGTCACTCGATCGCAGCTATGTCGGTAGAGGAACATTCGGCAGAGTAGCGCTATTTACCCAACAAGGCTCGAACGTAACAGTGATGTATACGCTTTATCATCGACACTGGAATTTATTCATACACGCATGGCATATTTAGGTCACATCGGGGTCATATAAAAGTCACTGGAGTAAATAATTACCAACAAACACCCAAGCGAAATACGATACGTTTACGTTTTAATCAATAATAGCCCCCATTTACAAAAGGAATGTTTAGTAATAATAGAAGGTACAATTGCGTTGTACTACTAGTACATAATATGAATTATCTGTGTTTTGTTACAAAAACAAACAAAACAAGCCTCATTATTTGTACAAAAATGAGTTTAGCGTGTAGAGAACTTGAATGGTTTATTTTCTGAATATTTTGTTAAAGGGCGACAGTCGTCTTGTCGCGTCCTGTTTGATATGCGACTCATAGCGACGTATACAACGTGTGTAAAATACATTGCTTATTTACATGAAATTCGAACACGCGCTGCGAGACGAGCACCGCGCTTCAAGAACCACATATACTACAGGTGGTTTCATATTGGAAAATAAGGCAGGCCATAGAATTACCCAAATTTCATAGATGCACTATATCAGAGGACACTAAGATACATTTTGTAGACAGTCTTGCATACATTGGATAAAATGGTGCATCATTCAATCATACAATGACGCAATCATGACGTAGGATATAAACTGACTTTAAATGTTTTTACCTCCAGCATCTAGAGTCATAACCCGAAATTTATGGCAATACCAGTTGTACACATTGTACACAAACGATGGCTTATCGACTTAGACAACGTAACATTTGTTAGGTTTGAAATTATTTTTGTGTTTATATTTGTCACGCAAAGTTTTGCAATGTTATGATGAACGTTAGTTGAAACTCAAAGTCTCACTGTTGAATAACAAAATATTAAAGTTTGCTTTTTTCTCGTAACTTTGATAATATCCAATTTAGTTGGTTAGCTCCACGATGCTTTCTTATTCTGTCCACACCCAAATTTTCTCTTTGGCAAAGATTGAAGGGAACTTTCCACCGTTTCTACTCTTTATAAGGGCGTAGATAACGCCGGCGGCAACAGCTGCGCCTCCTACGGCGAGTACCCACGGCAAATGGGGTCTCATCTTTGCCATTAATAAGAGACACCGGGAAGGTTCGGATTTTCGGAAACAGTCGTAGCTTCGTATTTGTTCGTAATAAGCTTCGATGTGAGGGCGCTTTCCATTAGCCCAGTAACGGTCGTCGTAACCCATTTCCTCGAGCCGATACAAGGTCGCAGCCCAGTAGATGTCAGCCGATGTAAAACGTTCCCCACAAAGCCATTGTACTTTATCTGCAATAAAGGGTTGTACACGAGTTATACCTAAAGGTTTACTGAAAATCGATGGTGGCGCTCATGTCTATCATACAGCACCTTCCAATAAATCGCGCCCTCTAGTGACGCAGCGCGTATATGACGTCAACATGCTGTGGATGGGTGAAAGCAAAATCGTTCAAAACAACAGTCCTGTGTTCAAACAGACAATTTGGTTGTGAAATTGATGTATATGAATATAATTGATTACTTTTCAACACTTTATGCAAATAATCAATAAATTCCATAGTTATGCGAAATGCAGCATGTCAGTATTTCCTAACCTTGCATCATGTCAGCGTCATTTCTCGCTAGCTCTTCCTCCAGCTTAGTCATCACATCTTCACACGCGTGGATCGCAGTTTCTACTAACTCCTCGTCTTCTAACCTCAACAACTCTTCTAGTTTTAATTTCTTTTTTGCCAGGTACGCTTCGGCCAGATCGGGAAAATCATTCGCGTATTTTTCGCACAATTCCGGAGCTTGGTCGTGTATTGCTGAAAATAAAAACTGTGATTAAAACAAAGGAGCACAGCCCATTCTTGTCGCCCACTTTGGCGACATAGACTCGCGTGGTGATCTTTCTAACCTTAGCATTAACCGACGGAGTTTGGTAAAAAAAAGTACAACATAGGACAGAATAGTGTGTTCGTTTCATTCACGTCGCGTGTTTGGAGACGCGTGCGAGTTAGAAAATAACGGGCGTGTTTTGTTACATATTGACAAGTTTTATTCAGGCGACAGTTCTTTCTAACGCGTTTCGTGTTTGCTGTAATTGCTGTACAAGGAGTCAACCATCGTTGACACTGACCTGAACAATGCAGCGCCCCCATGAGTCACAGTCACTTTTCAAACCCTTGACCTCACGCGCTCACATAACAATAACGTCCTCACAGTCACTGCGTACTAGAAACGGCCACACTATTCTGTTCCTGGTTGTATTTACCAGGGATAATTTAAAAAAAAATCAGAACTCAGACAGCCAGAACTTTTGTTTTGTCTGGGATTTGAGAGGTCAGCCACACGGGGAATTTACAAAAACTCGCATATTGTATATCGAAACTGTGTTTCATAGATGCAACGGCTTAAACTCAAACGTTTTCGCAAAGGCGTACTGTCAAATATCTAAAACAAAATCCTTGAAACAAATAGTTTGTAGATGTTGGTCATTCAGTGAGCTTTGGGGACAGTTGTTTGTTGTGAGTAATTGGATTGGAATTATACCATTTGCAAACATTGGATTTCTTGGCTTGACTTTAGTAATTTCGGGAAACCTTGGAGCGATCATCGTGATGGTGTGTACGTCTATCTTGTCACTAAGCCGTTTGAAATAGTCGCACATGTGTCCTTCGTTCGTGGATTCATCTGGACAGAGTTGAATAGCTGTAATAAAATAATATATAAAAAACAGAAAAAAAACATTACGATCAAGTTGCATGTTTCGAAAGTTTAGAAAGCCTAATGTCATTTCATTCATAGTATGGGCTTTGGCGAAACGACCTTTTTGAAGTTTTTGACCAGCCTGATATATGTAAGTTTTTTCAGGATTTCACGGGTTTTAAAATCAAACATCTATCTACCAATCACCGATATTATAAACATATATTTGTTATCAGAATTTTAGAATGAATGAAAACAAAATCGAGTTCCATAAAAAAAATCACAAATTTGACACCGATTTCAGAATAAAGATAAGAACAAACTCGTGGGGTTGATTTCTGAAAACCAATTTACCAGAAACAGGTTTTCTTCACTTCTTGACCCTATGTGCAATCTACATGGAGCTGCATTTCCATGGTAACTTAAACAACATTATTTTGTGTATTACTGCACAGAGAAAATTAAACAAATATTTTTCAAATATAGGTTTTTTAAAAATAATTTCATTATGTAGAACACAATGTTTTTTGTTTGTTTTGTGACCCAGAATTTTTAATTCAGGATAACAAAAAATGTACCCCTTCATTCATGATAAACAGTTTATTTACCTTATGTCACTAACCAACAATTTGAGATGCATTGTGGGTATCTTTATTCATTAGTTGGTTCCTACTTTAAACATGGTTTAAAACTATTAGTACGGTCTGCAGGGAATCTCAAAACGCCGCCAGCAGCAACGGTTCCACCTTCATGGAAACATACGTGATCTAGTACACTATAGCAAAACAGACTATTGTCTGTGTCTTTGATACTAGAGAATAATTAGACAGACAGACAGACAGACAGACAGACAGACAGACAGACTATATTTATAGAAATTACTTACTTTCAGGAAAGGCATCGTCGAGATAACGCAATATTTTATCTGAATCGCACACTATAGTTTCACCGTGCTGTAAAATTGGTACCAAACCGGACGGGTTGAGTCGCATGTACCAGGGCTCCAGGTTTTCCGAAAGAAACAAGTTCACACGGCGTTTTTTATATTTCAGATCTTTTATTGCGAGCGCCATTCTGACCTATAAAAAATACACAATAATAAAAAATCGACACATCGTATACTAGTATTTAACGAAAATGTCGCAAATAAATAAAAATTAATGACTGCCCTGTGTAAATCACGTGATAAACCAGTTATTATTTTGGGCGCATTGTGACATAAACCAATTAGTATTTAACGACGATGATTTCGAATATAATATTCGTTCGTATGAAAGAAATCGACACCGCCGGAATAATGTGCCATATTTTGTGGATACAGGTAAATGGCGCGTTGAATTCATTCTGTTTCCATAGCAATGACATTAACGTGTGCGTTACAAAACAATCATAGCCATAGCAACAGATTTAGAAACGCGGTGCGTCTAACAAAGATAGTTCTTGACCCAACTCGCGTATTATTCGCAGGCAGTCAAGTATGCCTTATTGCCCATAAACTATCCTTTGTTATACAAATTAACGACCTCATCTAGACAAAAGATTAGCGAGAGGACGAGTTGAGGAGGACGCACACCATTGCGAATAAAATCATTGTCACGGTGATCAAGTCTATTCGGCAGCTGAAGCGTTCTTTTAAAATTCTATAAAATGGCGTTTCGATCTAGACGCCAATTTATAGACTACTGGACTTTTTCTCAGCAGCGTGTTTGTTTTATTTAAACGTATAAGTACGCTTATCCCAGCGAGCTTGTCGACCCTATATACGTATGGTATTACATTAATACACTGCCCGTTACTAAATGTTTCAAAACTAGATGCCATTGCAATTTAAATTCTAATTTTGGCATGGGTAATGACATATTCACGCGACCTCGTAAAACCGCCAGAACAACAGTGTACTCGAAGATGTTGTCTGTAAAATTTTGGTAAATGTCACCAATACACGATTATCCGTGGATGCGATTTATGGGCAATTGAGTTTCTTCTCTCCAGATCTCCAAATTGCTGAATATTTTAATGTTTAGTTATTGCAGTAGCGATTTATTTTAGTTTACATCCACACTGGATGATTCTTAGATGAAATACCATCACCTGTCTGTGTTTTTGAATGGATGAAACAAAGACATTTGTTTGTTAGCCGCAAGGTGATGAGATGGATTAAGTTGAGTAGCGATTTGCATCATTTTTAGAGTTTGTATAAATTGTTTTTTTTAACTACAGTTTAATCTTAATTTGATATTCTGATTACATATTTAAAAAAACACAGCAGATTGCTTGAGAATTGTATTTGCGATTGAGTAAGTGAAATTTATCTTCAACTTGGTTACCGGTACAGAATTGTTACTCGTATCATCTCATCTCTCTCTGAGTCAATGATTTACAGATGTTACGTGTACGCACGGGATACAGAAACACGCTCTTTTTTGAGTGGTGGGGGTGTTACTTTCAAATTAGCCTTAAAGGCAAATTGCTGCGAAGCGTCCACAATACCAGTACAATAATCAACTCGCCGGCGACTCGCAAATAGTACAACACCGCCGCGGCAGCCATGGTAGATCATCACTAGATGGCCCAGGCTCGCATGAACAGATCGTTATTAGCGTGGTAATATGGGCATGGAACTCATATAGGAATCACATCGACAGCCTAATTTTTTACGACCAAACAAACCAATTATAAATGGTAGAAATGTCATTATAATGCTATAGCATGTTATGAGTGGGCCGGACTGCGCCAATGACAATGTCTTGTCTGTATTGCAAATGCCGTGCACACGCCACGTACTGTAACACTAAACGATACTCACCCGAAACGAATAGTATGACACTTCTTCATGATACAGTAAAATATCTGGGGTACCCGCCATGTTTATCGTCAACTACAGGGCCAGCCGACAGAACTCTAACGCCAACTGCACGTATATGCTTCCCCGATAGTTGACCCGTGCTAACAAACGTCAGGTCAAATTCCGAATTAGGACGGGCGACCTCACCGATGAATTCACATTTAAGCTATTTCGAGAACGACGCCACCAATAAAAAAATCTAAAAAAAAAAAAAAAAAAAATCACACATATAGCATCAAGGGAAATATCCACAGGTATATTCAATGTGATTTTTTATTGCACGCTTTGTAATTATGAATACGTAGATCACGTGACAGCTTTACCTCGATTGACGCCGGGGTCAACATCTGCTATCAGAGAGCTTTATGGACTATTGTAAACGATGGTATAATAGACCAAGTAGCTAAAGCTGTGGTTACGGTCACCATGGTAACGCTAGACAGTCCATGACCTGTGTTACCGGGGTTATTGAACAAAAAAACTATGATGCAGGTATGAGGTGTCAATGTAAGCCGAATATAGTGCAACTATAGAACCGTTTATGCTGGCTTATGCGTTGTAATGCAGAGCATGGATGTATTTACGATGCGCAATGGAAAAATCAAAACCACAGACTGCTAATCGCGAGTTCAATGAACTCTTTCATTTGATTAACTCATAAGTGGCATTTAGCACATTCAATCACGTCCATTGTTAACGTTCTTAACAAACTTCAACTTGGATACCCTGAGCGAGACTGTTTGATTGTTTCATTATTGGCAACCCTGAACGTTCTTTCCGTAACAATAACACCATCAGTCATTGTAGGTATTCATTATACTATTTTATTTGTTATTCAGTGTTTTCTGATTTTTGCGTCCTTGTTTCGTATTATTCAGCTGAGATTGATTCACGCAGCGTAATTAAGTATTCGTTATATTCACGTGATGATACTGCAATTACAGCTCGATGACGCCATTAGCACAGACGTGTCATAGTTATTTTCATTATATTATATTATATTATCGTTATCATTAATAAATAATAATAATAATAATAATAATAATAATAATAATAATAATAATAATAATAATAATAATAAAGAAGAAGAAGAAGAAGAAGAAGAAGAAGAAGAAGAAGAAGAAGAAGAAGAAGAAGAAGAAGAAGAA